AGTTGGCCTTACAAGAAAAACACTCTGCTTTTGAGAAACAGGCACTCTTGCACTCTACTGTGTTATGCAGTATTGGTGGCATGTTATGGACATGTTGGTTTATGTAGTCAATCTATTTTATAATTCTGAAGCAATAGCAAAGGGTTATACAAAACTGTAACCATGTAAGGGCTACACACTTATAGACATAAAAAAAATGTACTTATTGAAATGTGAAGTGTCTTTTTTCCTGGAGACAATAATTTTCTTTAAGTCAAATCATCACTTGAGCTGAATAGTAATAAATGATTGAAGTATGTTTAGTTTTTATTTTGTCACTTTTTAAAGTTATACATTTTCAAAGTAATTAATAAGCACAGAAGTAGTTTTAATAGAATGTCCAAAAAATATTTTGTAGAGTTATGTCTCTGTTAATGTAAATACCAAACTGACCCAGTAGCATTGTCTATGAATGCAGTTTACATTTTTCACTAGTATCAGATATAGAAAAATATTAGAACTTGTATTCAGTGCTTAATCTTTTCTAATGGACATGAATTCATTATTGTTCTTTGTAAGTTTAATTTGAAAATATTAGGTGACTAATAAGTTTGAATACAGTTTACATTTATCAATTACTTTAATCTTTTGTCTAATCTTTAATCTACTATAATAGATTGTAGTCATTGTAGTTTAATTGGATCATGTCTTTGTTTATATCAAACATATAGCATGTATATTGAAGCTTAATTCAGTGAAATTTGCCTATTATAATTATAATTAATAAAATAGCTTGAAACAAACATCTAATTTGAATATAGTTGAAAAACTATAAATATCTACTTGATACTGTTATATGATTTAAATCATTTTAATTTTCACATAATTTAAGGGAGCAAAATCAAATTCTGTGAAATTAATTTAAAAATAAATATGCATAGCTTTTTGGGGAGGTATACTAGTTTGACACGGATGGTGATATTCTGTTCAGGGCTGTTTTATTTATTTACTCTGGTTAATTATCTTTATGGGGAAACAATGACAAAACAGTGGTGTGCCATCAGCATCTTAGCCATGTCTAGTGTCAGATTTTCATCAGCAATGAGCATGGCAGTGTTTTCTCTATTTTTGGATGAATTTTACTGATGACTTACAACCATATTTTCTTTTTCTCTATAAACATTAAAAATTTAACGTCAATGTTTTCTAAAAATTGTGCTAACGGTCTATTGTATATGAAAATATGTCTTCAACTTTTAGCTTGTTGTGATAGATGGTTACCGTGATCATATAATCTGGTGGCAAATGTTCACTGTGATGAACACTGTGATTCTTTCCATTATGCTATTAAGACCTTTATTATTTTCAACTCTTCATTACATTTTGTCGTCATTCTCTGCAAAGAACTTCAATAGTTTTCCTTCTGTGTCTTTAGGGTGCCTACAGAAGTCATTCTATCACTTCTCTTCTGCAAGCTTTTTCGACAACACTATTATCTTTTATCTCCAACAGGTACAGAGAAATAGAATTTCTTCAAATTTTCCTTAACCTCATTACTTGCAAGAACGTTGGAATTCATTTTGAGTCTTTTTTTTTTTTTTTTTTAGAGCTTTATTGGGGGGGGGGAGAGGAACAGAGAGAGAGAGAGAAAAACAGAGACAGACACAAAAGGGGGGTCATTTTGAGTCTTTAAACACAGCTTTTACACTAAAAACAGAAAAAGGAAGGGCTTTGGGAGATAGCTTGAAGGAGACAAGATGAAATAAAATGGGCTGGAAGAATGGGAGAAGGAGGCACACAACGAAGAGTAAGTGTGGGTTTGAGAACATTCTGGAAGACGCCCACTGATATATTAACATTCAGTGTTGCTGTGATGACTTACCTTGGTTGTCAAATTGACACACCTAGAAAGAGATAACCTCAGCAGAGAAACTGCAGCAGATTGGTCTGGAAACATACTGGTGGGTCATATTCTTGATTGCTAATTGATGTTAGAGGGGCTAGTTCACTGTGGGTGGTACTAATCCTGAGCTTGGACTTTATACAAAGGATAACTGAATGTGAGTCTGGAAGAAAGCCAGTAGGTAGTGTTCTTTCAAGGCCTGTGCTTCACTTCCTCCCTTCAAGTTCCTGCTTTGTGTTCTTGTCTTGCCTTCTCTCAATAATGGACTGTCGCCTATATGATAAAGTAAATCATTTTCTCCTCAAGTTGATTTTGGTCTCTGTTTTAGCACAGGGTTTAGTTAGAGTTTCTATTTCTGTGATAAAACATCATATCAAAAGTTACTTGGGAAGTAAAGGGTTTATTTTTGGCTTATAACTCTTAGATTATACTCCATCACTGAGGGAAGTCAGAGCAGGAACCCAAAGCAGGTGCTTCGGAGACAGGAACTAAGGCAGAGTCCTTAGAGGAACACTGCTAACTGACTTGCTCCCTCGCTTACTGACTTCCTCAGCCTGCTTTCTTTGATGATGGGGGACCACCTGCCAAAAGTTGGCACCACCCACAGTGGTTTGGGCCCTTCCACATCAATCATTAATCATGACAACTCACTGCAGATTTGCCTACAGACAATCTGATGGGGAAATTTTCTCAATAGAAGGTCCTCTTACCAAACAACTCTTATGTCATCAAGTTGGCAAAAACAATAACAGGACAAACAGTAGCAGAAGGCAGTTATTTTCTTATTGCTCTTTTTGTGATCCTATTTGAGGGACTCACAGGCAATATAGATTAGAGCTGACTGTGGATGACAAGTTCTTTTGACTCTTGATTATCCTAAGTAAACAGCTACTGACCTAAATTTCAAACTGCAGAAGAAGATCAGGTGGGGATTTCTGATTTTGGCATCATTTTGACAGTTTTGATTTGCTGATCATTTCTGTGTCTTGGTTTTTGATTACTAATCCTCATCATGCTACATCTTGGAATTTGAAGTTTGATGGAGTTTGTTCTCAGGACCAAATATTCTGACAGGGGAGATGATTCAGTAGTTAAGAGCACTAGCTTTTTAAGCATGAAGACCAGACTTCCTCACCAAGAACTCAGGAAATAAAGACAACTGTTGTCCCTCGAAAGATTGCAACTCCAGCATTGAAAGGAAGATTGCCGAGGTTGGTGATGTCAGCCTTACCAAAAACATAATGTCCAGGTTCATTGAGAAACCCAACTTCAAAAAGCAGAGAAGGGTACAGGAAGACAGCTTCAGCTTTCTACCCTCAGCATCCACAGGCAAGTATGCACACCTACAAACAATATTTTTTAATTCAAATTTTTATAAGATTTAGACAATGTATTTTTATCATCATCTTGAACATAATTGCTATATATAACCATACTTATAAGTTTTCAATATTAATCAATATTTAGAAAAGAGTAGTAGATATTTCAAAGATTAGAGTGTTATAATATGAATTGTATTTAATTATTTATTATTAAATGATTTATAAACGATGAGCAATGATTCAAGTACTAGAGATAACTTTTAGAACCATATTTTTTTCTATTTGTAGCTCATTGGATATAAAATAATTGTTTATAAATAAATATTTGACCCAGACATGATAAAATAGTAAGAATATTCAAATCAGTACATTCAGAATAAAATTGAATACTAATAAAATATGTATAAAATATCTCCAAGAACACATGAATATTTTGATAAAGATACTCATGTCAAAGTATTTTCAGTCTGATTTGAATTAAACTTGGAGAAATCATTTGAATTGTATAAGATTATATGATCTCTTAGCCTGCAAGCTAATTAGGAAACTAAATATGTACTTCTAGGTGTTGGAGAAATTATGTTTGATTCTACAATGGTCAGACCTTAACTAATGTGACATCATTTTTGTTTGTTTAATATTCTTTACCTATATTTAAAAAAGACTTTTGAAACACTCGATTTTTTGAAAATGGGTATATTTTATTTACCTAGCCAAATAAGTATTTGCAAATATAATCAAGCTCTAGCAGTAGTTTCTAATAATTAAATTCTTTTAAGAGCAAGGATAAGCTCATATATTGTCCAGATAAAATCAACCTTAGACAAAAGCTGAAACTGTTACATGTCTAAGAACTAAATTTTGGAAAGAGATATAAAGTTAAAATATTAAAGAATCAATATATATATATATATATATTTCAAGTTAAATAAGCAATTAAGATGAAAGATGCAGTAAAATATCTTATGAAGTGTTAAGCACAACATACTGACTTAACTGTGATTTGACACAAAATATTCATATGCAGATATTCTGCTTTCTGTGTTCAGTTTGAGTATCTTCTACAAGAAAAAGATTCATATGGAGTAATATTGACTCATCAACAAATATCAATAACCTTTAGTGTTCCTGAAACCACATTTGTTTGCTCAAAACAATGAAGACAGCATTTAAATCAATTTAGAATTCCTGAAAATTCGTGTATATCCACATACCCATATACTTATATAAAAATACATATTTACATATGCAGCATGAATCCTCAAGGGTCTTAAAATAAAAACAAATCCGGAAGCCAGATAATGGGGTGAACATGAAAGATCAGAGAAGCAGAACAAGCCCTATTAGCTACCTCACCTTGCCAATCCTCAGCTGATCCTGTTTCCTCAAACTGGAAACCTTTGTGTCCTCATCCCAATGGATCTCAGCTGAACTGCTGCTCTAAAGCCTAAAAGCTTAACCAGTCTCTCTCTAGTTCTTGGTCATCACGCCTTATATACCTTTCTGCTTTCTGCCATCACTTCCCGGGATTAAAGGCTCTTGTTACTATGACTGGCTGTTTCCAGTGTGGCTTTGAACGCACAGAGATCCAAATGGATCTCTGCCATCAGAATGCTAGGATTAAAGTGTGTATGCCACCATTTTCTGGCCTCTATATCTAGTGGCTGTTCTGTTATCTGACCCAAGATAATTTTATTAGGGTGCTCAATATTTTGGGAAACACAATATCACCACATACATACATATGTAGGAATAAGAATGGACATAATTTTATATTTTAAAGTTTTATTTGTGTTTGTTATTGATATATTAGTATGTTTGTGGATAGTATGACCTAAATTTTAGAGGTAGTTAAGAAAAAATTATTGTAAGAATTCTTTTATACTAAAGTTGTTGATGCATTTCTATAAGATATTTTGACAATTAATTTATCAAAATAAATATATTTAATATGCTAATGCAAATGATATTTTACATAAATGAGGACACAATAAAAATTTACAACACTTTTCTCTAACTTTTGAATTAATACTACTGCTTGCAATGCAAAAATATGTCTTCAGATGGCTAGAGAGTTATGAGCACATACTGTCTTTCAGAAGAATCAGATTCTATTCCCAGTATCCATGTTAGGTGGCTCACAACCACCTGTAACTCCAATCCTCAGGAACTGACATCTCTGGTCTCCATGGGCATCTGCACTCATGTATACATACACGCCCACACATACACACACAACATGTACAAACTAAAACATAAGTCTTTAAAACACGTGTCCATATTACTTTGGTTTGCCACTGGCACTGCCTTGCATCTGAAAAGCTTATTTTATAATCAACACAGTTAAAAAGAATTAAGTCTCTTCAAATAATGCTTCACTTGGATCAAGGACTTTAGAATTATTGATCAAAAACATAACTTGTTGAATATTTGATATTTTAAATCATCTTTCATCTTACTAGTATGGCCTGGTTGAGGAGATAAAAAGAAATTCTGAAGTTTGACATGTGCTTATGGATCATCCATCAATCAGTTTCTTTATTAGCTAATGTGTTAAGTCACCAACATGAGGTAGACATAGAAACTCTGTTCCAACCACTATAATTCAGCAGACTTGGCATCATTAGAATTGTGAACAAATGAAGAACGTGCAGACTTGGGGCTAAATAAGCCCTATGTCTTCTTATGTGTTTTATTAATCTATAATTCAATAAATATTGCTGATTACATCCAAGGCTCCCATTCATTATGAATGGAAAATCTGTGTGGAGAGTTGTGGGATTACATGGATATGAACTTCCTCAAGCAAAGATAAACATTCACTGTCATAAGAGCATTAGAGGAGGCTTCATAGCTTGCATGTTAAGTTGCAGGATTGCAGGATAGCAGCAATGCTTTTTTGCTTCCTCCTTTTTGTTTTCATTATCCTGTGCTTACACATCAAATGCCTGTCAGAGGTGTTTGAAGGGCTGTACTTCAGAGAGAACTGGATCAATAGTTGGTTCATGAATATTGTTAATAGTTCAGGATTTACATTTTTGTTTATGTCAATCTTCTTCCAATGAATATAATTACATTGAGTTTTACAGCAAGCTTTTATAACACTTATTTGTAAAGAAAATATGTCTTTGCATGTGGTTATGTTTGGCAACCATCAGTTTCATGTCATTTTGATAACTAGTGATACAACATATACTTGGCACACAGAAGCACTGTTTTAATGACAGTATACTTACCTATCGGTATGAGCCTAAGATTTGCTGATATGACTGTGTTTTGTTTTGTTAGGTTCCAGTTAAGAGAGCAATGAATTGCATTTGTGCAGTATACTTGAGTGCTCAAAGACCTTTTATGAGTAATCATTAATTCCATGTTCACAACCATATTGTAGGTAGGAACACAATTATTAGTATTTCACTGATGTAAAACCAAACCGAATGCCAAAAACAAAAGCTGTGTATCTGAGTTCTCAAAGATCTTTTATGAGCAATCATTTAATTCATTGTTCTCAACCCTGTTGTAGATGGGAACTCATAACATTTCTCTGATAAAAAACCAAAAACATAAAGTCAAAAATAAAAAGCACACAAGGAAATCCATGTTGAGCTGCTTATCAGAATTTCAGGTCACATAGAAATTTTAAACTTCGTAAGTTTCTCATTGAAATTATCTAAATGACTGTCACTGCTCAGGGCAAGAATGGCAGGTTGCAAGTTTGAAGCCAGCAATTGTTATCTAGTATGATGCAAGTTCAAAATAAAATAAAATAAAATAAGTTTCTCTCAATTTGTATAGTGTCTGTCCTCTGATTATTTTCATTTTTAATTTGAAAGGTATGAATCTTCTCAAATGTAAATTGTATCTCTGTGTGAAAGAATATGTGTGTCCACATGAAAATATAGATAAATACACACAGGTTACAGAGAATCTGGAAAGTAAAACTAGGAAAATGGTTGAGACACATAGGTTGCATTCTTAAGGATTGAGATCACAGGATATATTCCAAAGTACTGAGATACACAGGTTATTGTCCCAGCAACTAACACATTATTTTTCTTACTTACATTCTCCAAGCTTCATCTGTACCATGAACTACTTCCATTTTGTAAGGCTGATATGATATATTGTCTAGCTTTCTGTGTCTCCATTCCTATTCAGACCTGTACTGAGAACATATGAATATATGTTCATAAGCCATTTCTCTCTCTGACTAAATTGGGCATATTATTTAATAAAAATATTTTATTAAGGTTTAAATAAAATGCTTACATCACAATTTAATTTTAGAATATACATGCTATTCTACTCATGCTTACAGTGACTATGTTTATTGGGGTTCTTAAGTCATCATCCTTTGGGGCAGGGAAATAGTTTAGTGGTAAAACCAAATATCCCAAATGAAGCTTGATCCTTTGAAACACACACCCCTCCCCAATGAATTACTATTAATAAATTAATGCCTGTAACCTCAATATTGCAATGCTTATTTTAGGTTTCAATCTATCTTGAATATAATTAACTTGTCCAAATGAAAGCCTAACTAAATGTTATTGGTAGACACATTTCTTCATTTCAAATAGACTCAATAATAAACCCTCAACTGATGAAGTAATCCTTTGAAATTGCTAAGCTAATAGACTCTCTATTACTATTTATTTAAGAATTTAAATAATTGGATTGTATTTTTAGCTCATGTGGTACTTTAATTTTTAATCAAAATAAAGAGAAAAAAATTTAGAAGAAATGTATCTCCTGCTGCCTTCCCCAAAATATTTTGGAGAAACATTGTTCCCAAAGCATGTGTTTTGAGGTCAAATAATTTTGGAAAACGTTGACTCTCATCAGGAATGCACCTGCCATCATATTTTTGTCCTCCAGCTGCAAGAATGGAGATGGAGAAGTAATAAAGTTCCCATTTACAGAAACGGGAGCAGCATGACCCACAGTGCTCTAGTCAAGAACACAGAGAGTAATAAAATACCTAAATACAGTGAAAATAATTAACTTAAAATATTATGATTTCAAGAAGTTTTCTGTTTCTTATCATTCATTTCCATTTAGTTTACTTATCCTTTACACTGCATCAACGCTGACAGAATTTTAAGAAGAGCTTTATTTCTCTATCCTGAAGTTTGGTGCATGGTGCTGCAGTATCAAGATTAGTGTGACTTGAACACTGTGAATGAAGGAAGAACAGTGTGAGGTCAGAGATTTAGCAAGATGCCAGAACTTGTAAGGTCTTGTGAAAGTTATTAAGGTGTGTGATGTTGGATGCTAGAGAAGGTCATGGAGAGGTTTGCAACAAAACAATGACTTAGCTTCTCTGTTTGAACAGATTTCTGTGGGTGCTGTTAAGTAGATGCCAGAGAATCCACTTCTTAACTGCATACTTTGTTGAGGTTCCCATGGCCTACACATATATTTGGGAAACTGGATTGATTTGTTCTCTGTACCCCACTTTGTTTTTTTTTTTTCAGGTTAAATGAGGATATGATTGTAAAGTACCTCACGACATTGACTGAAAAGAACGAATGCTAAGTACAATTATGCAGTGGATAACTATAATCCATCTTTTTTTTCATTTGTATAAATATAGAAGGATTCTATTTAATTTTTAAAGTACACTTTTATAGCTGCCAAATTCTACTAGAATCCTGGAGCTATCCAACAATCAAATGCTCCTATTATTCTTAATCCTAGGCACTTTTTTTGTTTTCTCTTTAAAAATGTTTGCCTTTTCCTTTTCTCTAAACCCCCAACATGTTTCTTAGGGAGCAGGGTATTCTAATAATTGTCAACCCTTGTTAAACACTTACTTTGCTCTGAACTGTTGAAGTACATTTTGTCACTCTTTTTAACAACTCTTTAAATTGGTTTCTATTTTTTTTATTACCACTAAATTAATGAGGACATTGGCACACTGAAAAGAATACGTAAATTTCTCGATTTTATATAGTCAGTAAGAAGAATGCAGGGGATTTGATTCAGACTAAGAATGTAGGAACCTCACTCGGTTATCATTCACTTCTCAATTCATAGGTGAAAATCTATGAGCATCATCATCTTCAGCAGAGTTCCAGCTGCCAGTAAAGTCCAACCTCACCGGAAATTTCCTTGGCCCTTGATTCCTGCATTATTCATCCTTTGTGTCTTTAGCTCTCAAGCTCCACTGGCTCATCCCATGAATATTCAATCATGTTCTTATCCTTAGCATATCTGAATATCTCTCCCAATAGCAATCTTCTCAGTTTTATTCTAACATATTTATTAGCACATGATGCCTGTTTTTTAAACTAGTGAATTTTTCTTCAAAATGAATGCTCAGTTTCGTATCCAGGAGTAAACACATTCATATTGTGTTTCACGTGACAGATGAAGTCCAAGTTCTTTCCATGCCAACCCTTATCCTATTCATCTTTTTTATTGGGCCCAATTTTCCAATTTTCTGTACATTTCCTTATAGAAAGAAGTATAATCAGACAGAAACTTTGGTAGATTCTTGAAAATGGGTTGCACAGTGCTCATGATAATTCACATGTACCCACTTAACTGCTATTATCATGGCTGCTGGTACACATATTTTTAAACATCCTGGCAACAGTTTCCCATCCCTCCTCTCCTTCCAGTCTCTCCCTACCACCCTCCTCTTTTTCTACACCTCAAATCCACTCCTCCATTTCTATTCCGGAAAGGTTAAACTTCCTATGGATATCAACAAAACATGGCATATCAAGTTTCAATAAGACTAAGCACCTTCCCATGTTTTAAGGCTGGGCAAGGGGGACCCAGTGTAGGAATAGGGTCCCAAAAGCCAGCAGAGGAGTCAGAAACAGCCCCTGCTCCCACTGTTAGGAGTCCCACAAGAAGACCAAGCTACACAACTGTAGCATATATGCAGAGTGCTTAGGTTAGTCCCATGCAGGCTCCAGGGCTGTCATTTCAGTTTCTCTGAGCCCCAGTGAGCTAAGATTAGTTGATTCTATGGGTTTTCTTGTGCTGTCCTTGACTCCTTTGGTTCCCATAATCCTTTATCCCTCTCTTCTTCAAGATTCCCTCAGCATCACCTAATGTTTGGCTGTGGGTCAGCATCCATTTCCATCAGTAGCTGAATGAAGCCTCTCTGATAACAACTGGGCTAGGCACTAATCTCTAAGTAGAGCAGAATATCATTAGTGTCATTACATTGACTTTTTTTCTTCAGTCATGTTGGTTCTATCCTAGGTCTCTGGTTCACTCAGCCTGTGGGTTCTGGTGTTCCAGGCAGGGTCAATGGTGGCCTTCCTCTTCTGGCATGGGTTTTAAGCTAGACCAGTCATTGATTGGCCACTCCCCCAATCTCTAGTCCACACTAACCCCAGTACATCCCATAGGCAGAACAGACTGTACATTTAAGGTTATATAGCTGAGTAGATTTCTCAATTCCTCTACTTGAAGTCTTGCCTGGTCATAGGAGATAATCAGTTCAGTCTACATATCCACTACTTCTAGGAGTCTTAGCTGGGGTCATCCTTGTGGATTCCTTGTAGATTTCCTTGCATCAGGTTTCTACCTGACCCCAAAATGCTCCCCTTTTCCAGTAGTCTCTTTCAGTAGCCTCCCTCTCCCTCGCCTTCCAACCTGATCGCTCATGTTCCCATCCCTACCAGCCACTCACAAAACGTTATTCTAGGGCGGTGGTGGCGTACGCCTTTAATCCCAGCACTTGGGAAGCAGAGGCAGGAGGATCTTTGTGAGTTTGAGGCCAGCCTGGTCTACAAAGCGAGATCCAGAAAAGGCACAAAGCTACACAGAAAAAGCCTGTCTCGAAAAATTAAAAAAAAAAAAAAACTTTCCACAAAAAGGGGGGTGGGGTGGGGATTTAGCTCAGTGGTAGAATGCTTGCCTAGCAAGTGCAAGGCCCTGGATTCGATCCTCAACTCCACAAAAAAAAAAGTTATTCTCTTTCCCTTTCCCAGTGAGATCTTGGTATCTTCCCTGGGTACTCCTTATTACCTAGTCTCTCTGGATCTGTGGATTGTAGCATAGCTATCCTTTATTTTACAGATAATTTGTACTTATGGGTGAGTACATGCCATGTTTTTCTTTTGGGGTGTAGGTTACCTCACTCGGGATTTTTTTTCCTAGTTCTATCCACTGGCCTGCGAATTTCATGATGTCATTTTTATTGACAGTTGAGCAATATTCCATTGTGCATACATACCGCATTTTCTTTATCCATTTCTCATTTGACGGACATCTAGGTTGTTTCCAAGTTCTGGCTATTACAAGTAAACTAATATAGTGGTTTCTCAGAAACTGGGAATCAATTTACCACAAGACCCAGCTATACCACTCTTGGGCATATACTCAAAGGATGCTCAATCATACCACAAGGACACTTCCTCAGTTGTGTTCATAGCAGCTCTATTTATAATAGCCAGGTCCTGGAAACAACCTTGACGGTATACAATTTTATATATAGTAATGTAAATCCATTCACATGTATCCAGCTTTTTAAACTGTTTTTTTTTTTTTGTCAGCTTAGTCATTAGTTTTTACCCACATCAGTTAAAGGATTAAGTTGACATTTCTCAACAAAAAACATTTAGACTTTGATTTTTGAGCACATTTCATTGAAATTGCCATAGTTTAGGAGCACTTAAAAAATCTGTCATTATTATTTTGTATACAGTATGGTACATATTCCTAAAGATTTTTATGTAGTTTATGCTCTCTATAAGTGTTAATTCCATTTTCTGTTAATGGCTTTCCTACTTAGTTGTGATTTTCATGATTTTAGCAAGATTTTAAAATTATTGTGTTCATACTTTCTATTTTTATACGGACCACAAATATTCAGTTCACTGTAGAATTGAAGAAAGAATTTGTAGACATGCTAAAGCATATCTACCTGGAGTATACTTAACAAATTTATAGAAAGTATTCTCAATGTGTTCAATAGTGATTGGCTAGTGGAATCTGTAATTGCTAATGCTCAGTTATCTACTATCTCATCTTCCCCATCCATTTGGTCTTGATAGAAAGACTTTTAGAGATATTTCATTAACTTGTTCTTTATTAGACTTCATTCTCCAGTGTCACTCATGATTCTTAGTTACTATTCATGTTTTTTTTGTTTTACTTAGCTTCTACATACTAAAATATCTCAGTTATTGCTTTT